ACTTGTCTTGAGTTAGGATCAATGAAGAGTATGTGCTGAATATTGAGTAAAACAATGTCCTTTGAGGTAGCTGCCTTAGATGAGTTTATTGCCTTGTCTCTTGGAACAAGGAGGATGTTTTCTTAATATCAAGAGTTAAGGGACTGCTCTTGGCTGGCTGAAAGGTCAGGGGATTGTAGGTATCCAAGATTCTCACACTCATCCCAATTATAGGTCTCAGAGTAGTACTCTTTCCCTATTAGGACACATATATTGATAAAGAATACTGTTAAATTTGTGAATAGTTTCCATGCTTCTCTGTCAACCTTATAATTATAATATGGGCCTGATATTCGGCAGTATGCCTTATGAATGGAAGAGATGAGGGTCTCCTTAACCCAATGAGTTAGGTGGGCATTCCAATCAGACACACAAACTTACGTTAGAGATCCAGAGTAAGGCATTCCTTAGAGCCAGCCTCAACCGCTCAGGCTGAAAGGAATCTCATAATCCATATTAAGTTGGAAACCAAACTCATCCACTCCCACACCCCAAATGCCAACTCATGCAAAGAGGAGAATAGGTGCATGTCTGAGACACATCTCCCTCACTTCAATATATGCCACAATATAAATGACAACCCAGAATGAATCAGGTGCCTCTCCTTTACCCCAAACCCAATAATTTACAAATGTGGGGAAACCTGTGGCCTTGGTTTTCAAATGCAGGTAGTTATTCCATGAGATTAAGAAATATTTCTCACTATTATGGTAAAGTAGTTCATCTTACTCCTTATAGAAATTAGACTGTCATCTGGCTCACTTTGAATCTGACCTTGTTATTTGTGTCACTTTAAATCCAGCACCTTCAATCCTTAGAGTAGAACAGAGCTTTAAAGCATTGTTTGCTCTCCTGATTAACAAATGTATGAATGAATGAATGAATACAAAAATGAGGTAGTAAAAAAAATATAAGAACCAAAAGATAGAAATAGCTCCACTGAGAAAACTGAAGGTGGGCAATATATTGGAACCAAAGGGACACAATGTTATAGAGTAAATACAGTGTTTTTCCAGGGTATGAGGTCCACATATAGTGTGGTGATGGTCTGTTGTCAAACACTCCTCAGGATCATGAAGAAACTATGTTGATTAATACAAGCTATATGCCCAAGGAGTCTTGGTCTTTGTCAGGCAGACAAAGAGAAGGTTCTATGGATTCTAAAGCTTATACAATTTGGGAGGCTTGCCTTTAAAATAATACAAGATCAACCATGAAAGTGAGTATTTATTTAGAATGATAATGTATAACAAGCTTTAAAATGATGACAACTACAACAAGCAAAAATTCCAACCAGAGAAACACTAGTTATGTGTAACTATACAATCTGAAGTATAATGAAGTGAACATCCAAAATGAAAGATATAATGGTTTTATTACAAATCAAAACATCAAACTTTTGCAAATTTTACATAAATATATGGCCATGTGAACATATAACAAAGGAACAAGAGTAACAGTTGTCTCACTCTAAGAGTAAAAATGCAGACAGGTTCATGTTAAGCCTTTAGTGTTTATTTTTATGTCAAGTTTCTAAAATAAAGTAGCCCTTATAACATTTTTTTTCACTAAAGTCTTGTTTCAAGTTAGAATAAGCTATTCATTGGTTTCAGACTTTACTGTGTACTTTACAACACATTTGGATAATTGTCATATTTGGCCAAATGATGGCCTTTTCTATGACCCATTTCCAAATTCACAGATTCTGGTCCATCTACTCTTTGTTTTAGCCTGGAATGACTCACCAGTTGGCATTTATATTATTGGAACCAAGTGGAACTATACTATGAATAAGCCATATGCTAAAGACTGCTTGGCTTGAAACAAATGACTATGTATTTAAAGATACAATAGTCAGAACAAAGTGCTTGCATTTTCTACAGTTTATATCAAACTAGGTGGGCTCTTAAGCAGTCAGCCTGGATTCATACTCTAGAGTAGCCAGACTATGAATGCAATGACTCTAGCTGCCTTCCATATGTGGTCAGACAGCTATATTAAGATACAGTTACTGTTAGTTATGATGACAGCCAAAAGCCCGTCTGTTTAAGAAACTGTTCACATACTGAATAATAGACACTCCATAAATGGAATTTTAGGGCAGTGTAGAGTGAACAATCCTGTTCCAGGCTGCCAAAATAATTTTTTGCATGCTGAGATGTTATTCTCACACATGTAGAGTACATGCAGGTAATCCATTTACTTTAAAGTTCCAGATTTTCTTGCAAAAGCAGTTACAGTTAGTTATAATATATAGCAAAGCATCTCTATCTTTGGTTCTATGTCTCAGATATTTTTTCAAAAAATAAATAGGCATGGCAGGAAAAATAATTCAACTATCTTAAGAGAAACCCAATATTTTATAAAAAACTAAGCAAAAATATATAATCAATGTTTATCAGACTTTTTTGAATAATCTTGCTCAATATCTAAAACTAGTGCAATTTTAATATGTAAATGATTGTGCACACAGTATTTAACTACACAGCATAGACACAAAGATGTCAAAACAAATAACACAAAATTGTACTTTCCCTTAAAAGTTATTTAGGAATTATACATTCTAGAAATGTATGATAAAGTAGAACTGCTGAAACAAGTTAATAAAATTGGCTCTGGAGAAGCATAAGAAAGAAAATGTTGATGTCGTAATATTCACAGATCATAGAGATCGCAACACACACACACACACACACACCAACAAAACCTGAACATACTCCCTAAAGTCTCCATTTCTGGAAAATATATGTTAGAGGGATTTTTAAAACTAGTATCTATGAAAGCTCCCTCTTATGATCTGGACACTCAGGTGATTTAGTGAGCTTCTTTTGTTAATGGTTTCCGTCTCTTTTCAAATATGATTTTTGCATCAAATAACTCTCTTTCCCTGTATCCCAGAGATGGTCCTTTTAGATACTTTGCTTCAGCTGCCTTGTAATCTAATCCATCAACAGCAGAAATTGAAAAAATGATTGCTTCTGGCAGAAGAACTTCTAGGATAAATTTAATTTTATCATCTCTTATCAGAGCCAGCATTCTTTCATCTATTTGTTTGTAGATTTCTTGTAAATATTTCACCACCTCATCCAACTGATCTTCATCCTCAAAGTATGTTTCAATACAAGGAGTGAACCTCTTTGCTTTCAAAAATGATTTCAGCCACCTGGACCGTTTTGTGCCATTTAAAATGGACAGAAGATGATTCTCTGTTCCTTTTGCATTCACAATGAAGTCCACTAAGTTCTTGTTAGCTCGGTCCCGAGCTGCCTTCATTCTGTCAGGGAGAATTTTTTGGAAGGACAATTTCTTGGTCTGGGAAGTCATAGCCATTGGTTCCACAGAATCTTCATTAAGCTTTGGAAATAAGTTCCTAAAGGTATCCTGTTTGATTACCTTCCTGATTGGATAACTAATGTCAGCAGCATAATACTCAAGGAAAGAACCTGTAAAAGAACCACAACCTAGTCTCACTCTGTAGTCACAAATCAGCGAAATGCACCAGTCAATACTTTCACTGTAATCCTCCCTGGCTTTATCAACTAATGTTTGTTTCTCTTTACAATCAAATTTCTTTAATCTTCTCAAAGGCACTCTAATGCCTCTCTTTTCAGGATTCATGTTTGCCTCAACAAAAAGTACACTTGCTTTTTTCTCTTTTTGCCTGATGCTTTTCACCACTGCTGGCCAAAATGGATATTTTTTATATTTAAACCAGACTATCATTCCTGCTTCAAAGGAACGTGGCTCATAATGAAAAACAACACGTGGAAGTACTTCATCTTCCTCATCGTCATCTAATACAGAAGTATCAACAGGATTTAGAGGCACTGACTTGTCAGAAGCTTGAGATTCTTCTGCATGTTCATCAAAATCCAGACTCTGAACACTTCTTTCATTATTCCCAAGGAGTGAGCAATCTATGACATGGTTAGAGGCATGAAATGAAACCTGACATTCCCATGAACAATGCCTGGGGGATTCCACAGCACCTGTATCTGATTCCATAGATTGACTCTGGCTTGTATCTAACCATGAATTTGAGGGACCCTCTCCGGGATCCTCAATATTCTCTGAGAAGATAGCGCATTCAGAGGAAATAGCCAGGGTCTTTGGACAAATGTCTTCTGGCTCCTCTTTCAAAACTTTGGGCACAATTGAGATATCAGATGGCAAATTTGGAGTGAACTTCTCTTCCTTAACATAAAAGTCTTCCTCTTTGATTGTGGAATCCAAAGGCATAATCGTTGGGATGTCAATCTTTTTCTTGCTCTCCTTTTCATCCTCTTCTGAAAGTGAAGAGAAAATTTGGCACCAGCTGGAGTTTTGTGATGACTTTGTTTCCATCTCACATGGAACAGTATCAATGGTTACATGCATTTGTGATTTATCATCATACAGGGAATCATCACTCTCTGAAGATACTAACAGGGATGTTGGATTTTCACTTTCCTCAAGACACTTTGATAAGTCTCCTTTATGCTTCCGATGCTTTTTATGAGGGGGTAAACTGGAAAGCTTTTGTGGTACATTTTGAGACAGTGTAGTGGTCTCTTCTTCATCTGAACTGCTTGCTTGATTCAAATTTGTTCCCTCATTCAGAATACCCAGTGCCACTTTTAGTGACTTTGCATAGGCAATTTCCTCTCTAGGTGGAGTATTGCCCTCTGACTGTGATGCTAGTGAGGAGGCAATGGCTTCAATTTGAGATTTAGTAAGGATCTTTGTTTCGGTGCTTTCCACTTGAATTTTTTCATCTAGTGAAAGTATTTGAACTTCTAGGGAAAATGTGTTTTTTCTTTTACTGTTTAATGAAGTCTCAGATCTGGACAAAACTTTTGCTGGCCATAACTGGTCTTTCCAATTGCATAAGACATACTCAGTATCCATTGTAATTTAGATTTGTGTACTAAAAGGTTTCAAATCAGAGACTGAGGTGTATGGCTATTCTCGTCACTGCTTAGGCAGTTCCTACAAAAACAATACTCTTACCAAAATCTTTGCCTTAGAACTACCAAGTGTTTATAGCTTGTGTGGTCTGTTCTCCTCCAACAGTTTCCCAAGGATGCTTGAGCCGTTGTTTAAATGGGACAATATGGGAGATACTGGAACAGGGAAAAGGAAAAGAAAATCATCAGCAAACAAGGTTATTTTGCCAAAGTGGAAGGTGAACGATTACAAAGTTAAAAGAAAGAATAATACTCAATGGGGCATGAGATAGAGGGGGAAATGCAGCATAATGTAAGGAAGGTGAGGGTAAGAATTGAAGAAGTGGTTTATAATACCTCAAATTCAAGAACTTGCCCTTACTATTACATGTGGTTATTAATGATTGAATTGGTGTACATGTTGGCAGAGGTGAGAAAGGTTACAGTGGTGTGTCAGCGATTCTATTTGTGTTAATAGAGATACTTTGGGACAGTTGTGTCCCTAATGTTATACCAAGGGCAGTGGGACTCCAAATTTTGCATGTATCAGAATCATCTGGGGGTCTTCATAAAACTAGATTTCTAGGTCCTATCCTAAGAGTTTTATCCAACATTTTGTATTTTCTAATTTCTCAAGTGATTTTATTGCAACTTGCTCAAGATCTTGAGAAACACTGTTCTAGCTGGACACATAGCTTTATAATATTTAAGTTATAAATACTTTCCTGTTTACCCAAAGCAGGCAAAGATAATAGGGTATACATCTCCTGGACTCAGATAATAACAGAATGACCTTGTCAAAAGCATGAGTTTAGAAGACAGAGAATCAGAAAAATTGCAATGTTTACTAATTGGATAAGACAGTTATCAAAAATTTCTTGAGAGTCAGGTGGCTAAGAACTCAGGTAGAAATCTGAATAGCCTCTTGCACAATTTCTTCATTGTGGTTTAACACATGAGATTCTTTCCCCAAACTAGAAGTGATGACTTTTAATTACATAATGATACAGGTATAAAACAGGGAGAAAAATAAATTTACATCTTAAATTTTCAATTTAACGTGGTTTTAGTATGAAATGTAGCTTCTAATTAAAAATACTATTGCTGCAGTTCTGGTGGGGTAGCTAAGTTGGTTGGAGCATCATCCTGTACACCAAAAGGTTGCAGGTTCAATTCCTGGCTGGGTCACGTAAGGGAGGCAACTGACTGATGTTTCTCACACTGTTTGTCTTCCTCTCTCTCTAAAAAGAAAAAAAAAAGTAAATAAAAACATATCTTCATATGAGGGTTAAAATAGTATGACTGCAGAGAAGGAGGAAAAATGAATTATAACTCAAGTTCTCAACAAGATTTTAATGTGAATGGTTTCATGAAATGGAAAGAGCATTACCCAGTGTCACGTGGGTTGTAGAGGATCTGGTCCTATGATCCAGTTGTCTTCGTCCTCACTTCAGAAGAAGAAAGGCTATATAAAAGGAAATAGAAATTCAAACCAAATAAATGAAAAAAGCATAAAGAAACTTTCCTACCAAAACTTTAGAAAACATGTCATTCTGAAACATAGGAATGAGATGAAATTTCATCTGTGATGTAGAGGCCATGTTTATTTTCCTTCTTGTTCTTTTTAAATTCTCTCTGTGACGTAGTCATGCTGAAATCATCTCTCTGACTGGAAAAGTGTGAGGTGGGGACAAGAGAGAAAGGAAGTAATAAACTGTCTTGTGTCTATTATGAGTAAGACTGCAGATTTTATTTGAATCCCCATATCAATCACCATGTGGATTTTTCCTTCTTTGCACATACAATTTTCCATTAAAATTTTAATAATAATCTACATGCTGTCTCATAGTCCACTAATATAAAAATATGGTTAATTGTTTTGTTTGCCATTTTCATAAAAATTGTTGCCTGAAGAAAATGTAATAAACCTGGCAAGCCCCATCTTGTGACCAGAATCAGAACTGCAGCCTCTCCAGGAGGTATAGGCAGGGCTTCAATTATGATCAGATCCTTTTTATGAGAAGCACAGGAACTACATTTAACCAGCCAGAAGTCTTCCCAGGCTGGTAAAAATTTCTATTCTAAGCTTAAGGGTTTTGCTGTGTAAGATTACATAGGGTCATGATGTCTTCAACTGCGTTTCTGATTATAAAAATATCCAAAAGCTTATTAAAATTTGAAAAGATGCAGAGAGATATATACAAAATAAAGTACAACTCTACAAATAATTACTATGAATATTTTCTATAACTCCAGAATTTTTTACATATAAAGATAAATCTTTTCAAACCATCAGATCTCAATTAAGAACATATTTTGAACATCATTCTATATAAATATTTTCCACATTTCTATGAATTACTTTAAATATATTTTTCCCACATTTGCAACATTTTATCTAAGTATTTTCCCTGATTATGTAAACCAAGTAAATAAATAAGTATATATTAATACTACTTTAAATAGAGAGCAGTAAATCTAGCCCTGTTTCTCCAACTACACAAATATTCCTGTTAATAGTGTGGCAGATGTGTTTTCCTAGATTTGGTTCCTGGATTATAGTAGCATACCTGTATTTTATTAACATACGTATTTATTTTTATATAATATACATGTTAGTAAAACATATAATAAATGATATGCTATAATTTCCTTTATTCACTTTATACTATTTATCAGACATTTCCAATCACTACATATTTTTATTCTTCTGGTACATAATATTCCACTGTATGGTTACACCATTCCATATAATATTTTAAAAAACTGTTTATAGAAATAAACCAAATCCTTTCTCTATTGCCCTCTTAAAAGATATAGAAAAATGGTTCTTGTTGACCATAGCCATACTTGTAGTCTGGAAGAATGAATTGTGAGGAGGACACACACAGGTCTGTAGCCAACACAATAATTAGGCTACACGCTGGATCAGGTCCAGAAAAATGTCCACTATTGTCAAAAAACAAAGAGAGGATGTTTGCATATCTGTGTATGTCTATGAATGCTTATGTGTTTTAAGCAAAATGGATATGTTGTTTCAGCTTTATTTTTCTTTCATGATTATAAAAATAATAATGGAGAAACCTACTCTAGAGATGCTGAAATAGGCTAAAAAATAATATTATTTTTTCCATGCTGACTAACATGGAAATTTATTTTCTCCCAGGGTTTTTTCTAATCATATATATATATGTATATGTACATATATACACACATATACATGCATATGCATATGTTTGTACAGTTTTCTTCAGACAACTACATATGTTTCCCTTATCATGTTCATTTGCATAGCCTTTCTTTGTGTCCATCAATTCATAAAAGTATTTTCTTCCATGCTGCCACATATTTTACCCATCATTTTCTGTGCAAATTAATAGATGCTATACTATACTGAATTCTTAATATAGAGGCTGTAATCTGATCACTCCTTCTTCCACTGTGGATTTTTAAAGCATTGAGAAATATAAAATTCAAAAGCATTAATTCCTTCAAAATGCCAGCAATTCTTTTAAAACCATACACCCTTCTCACTCACTTTAAGACCACCATTCCTATTTTTCTCATATTTATTCGGGGGCTCTGAGAATTCCCTGGAAAACAACTAGATTTAAGACAGCCATTACCTTGAAGTTTTTTTGTCAGCTGCAGCCTCCTGAAATACAGTCCCTCCACCAAGACTGGCCAGGAACAAATTGTTTCCAAGCTTCTTAGAAAATGCTCCACCTCCTCCATGTGATGGGGAAGACAGAAGGCCTCTCCCTGAATTAAAGGAGGGACAACAGCCAAGTTAAACTGTTGAAGTGTTAAAGAGTAGAAAATGTTCCTCAAGAAACTAAAAAGTGAAATGGCAACAAGTGTCCATTTAATTTCCATTCAAACCCGTGGAATGTGTAATTTCTTGATAAAAGTGGTAGCAAATCACTTAATTAAAAAATAAAAAATATAGTTTAAAATATTCCTTACATATTTTCTCTGCCTTATCTGGCACCTTACCTCTGCAGGTAAATTTAAAACTCAGCTGGTCAAGCTGCATTAAAATAGCTCACTAAAAATCTTGACTGGGATTGCACTAGAGCTGTACATTATTTTACTGAGAACTGCTTCCTTATAATAACTTTTTTCTGTTTACAGGACATGATAGTCTTCCCTTTTATTAAGTTCTTCTCTTAAATGCTTCAGGAAAGTTTCAGATCTTTCCTCACAAACTTGGATGTTTCCAACCAAAGACTGAAAATCACTGGTATGGCAGTAAAGTATACATATCACATATTCTCATCAATAATTAGCAAGTCCTTCTTATGTTTTATTGGTATTTTTCAGTCATCAATTTAATGTGGAGAAAACTAATTTTTAAAAATTTACATGCCTTTGTTTATATATATATGTCTAAAATAAATTTTGCTCATTAAAAGTCTCCCATGTTAAATGTAAACTTAGATTTCTGATTTAACTTAGAAAGCCACTTTAAAAAATAATTAGTGTTAATTTGGGGAATAAAAATATCTGGGGCTGAAGTGCCTCTGTATCATATAATATGTAATATATAAAAGTATTTTAAAAATCTACCTTTATATAAACATAAATGTTGGAACAATAAATACAAATAAATAATGAAGATCATCTCTAGGCTGCTGTGTTAGTAAGGGCTTTAATAATTATATGTAATGTTTTGTGCTATGAACCACCCCTAAAATCTCAGAGATTTGACCACAAAGTTCATTTTGCTGATGTCAAAGTTTAATGTACTTCATCAAGTCGTCAGAAAGGGAAACGTTTCTCTGTTTCAAGCAGTCATAAAGGGACTCAAACTTCTTCCATTCTATGGCTCTACCATCTTCTTGGCCTTGAAGTCCTCCACTGCATTCTTTGCACCTGGTTAGCAAGCTTATAAAGAGGGGTGTTGGAGAATTCTGTGGAAAGTTTTAGGGGCCAGGTCTGGCAAATTTTATTGCTGGTCACAGTCAACTAACTAAAACTGCCATAGAAGCTAGGGAAGGTAGTCTTCTTGTGACTCAGGAGGAGAATGAAACAGGGTTTTGTGAGCATATAGCATTCTCTCTGCCACAGGAAGTTTTCCCTTTTGATATTTTATAGACTTCTGTTATATGATTAATGCTTTTTCACAACCATGTATCATATTTATAATGACTAGGACAGGAGAAACATTTGGTTACCAACTCCAAGCTATTCTTTATGTTCTTCCTCAGTAGCAGAACCTCAGTTGCATTCAGGGTGACAATGTAAACTCTTAAAATATTATTTTTCCCAGACTCCCTTATTGGAAGCCATGACCATGTGATGGACTTTCTTGCCATATAATGGAAACAAAAATAGTTGTGAAAACTCTAGAGAAGGTACCTCAAAAGAGGTTAAAAAGCCCACTTGATTTTTTTTTCCAGATTCCCTCTTTCTCTTGCTTCTACCCCTAGAATTTGACCATGGTAGAATTCAGAGAGCCATTTTGGATCAAGTGACTTAGATAAAGAATGTAACTCATACCATGGCCAGGTGGCTCAGTTGTTTGGAGCATCATCCCATATACCAAAAGACTGCAGGTTTGATTCCTGGTCAGGATACATACCTAGGTTGTGGGTTTGGGTCCCTTTTGGGGCATGTATGAAAGGCAACTGATCGATGTTTCTCTCTCACATCAATGTTTCTCTCTCTCTCCCTTTCTCTCTAAAATCAATAATAATAATAATAAAAATATCCTGGGTGATGATTAAGAAAAACAAATGTAACTCACTAGGGATGGAAGTGCCTGAACCCCTGAATAATGAGACACCTCATTTCAGTAACTTTAACTTAGTGAAATAGTAAACTTCTATTTTACTTAATTCACTGTGTTTTCCAGTCTCTCTTCTAATAGAACAAAACAGCTGACTTCATAATCACTAACAAAAATATCATTCTTATTACAGAATTAATCTTTTCAAAGCTTTCAAATTATTACTATATAAATTCAAGAGGATTTTAGGACAGTATAAAATATGGCTTTCGTTAAATAAAGAGATAAATTCAATTGTATATTTTATATTGTAATATTTCTTATTCTGTCTTCTCATTTCACACATTTGGGAAAAAACAAATGGACATAAAGTATGGTATTACATCAAGACTACACTGTATTATATTTATTTTATTTACTTTCTATACTGCACATAAATCAGAAAAAGCTACCACCTCACTACTTCCCAAACAAAATACAAAGAAAAAGATTAGTTTCTTATATATTTTATATTTTACTGTTTTTTAGAAGGAGGGGTAGAATGATAACTAATAGTAAATGCCAATACTGCTACTATTATTATAATAAAGATAAATAATGATTATAGATATAACAATATCTAATACATATAAAAGTTTTCTATGTGCCAGGCACTGTTCCCAGTACTTGACATATTATCTCACTTAATAATCATATAGTTACTTTATGAAGGAGAGCCCCCATAACTGACCCATTCTGCATAACAGTACTACTATCAATAATAATGACAACAATAGAAGCCAAAAGTGTTCCATACTGGCATTGTGCCAAGTACTCTGAATACATCACCTCCCTTGATACTCACAAAGTCTTTTTAGGTAGGTATTATAAATATTACCATTTTGTAGATGAAGCATTAGAGAGGTTAATGAACTTTCATAGGTATTTGGCTCCAGGGTCCATGTTTTTAATCATTAATATACTCTGTAAGTACCTTATTTTAAATGAAAAAAAATGCTCTATAAATGTGTGCTGGATGAATAGGTAAATTAATTCATTTGCAATAGTTATGTATTAGAAGTCACAGCAATTTAAGAAATTCTATATCTGGTTCTGCATCTAATTTAACATAAACTAGTCTTAAATAGCATAATGCAATTATGAAAGGGAGTGGCATCCCATCATTTTAGCCGAATTCTATCAATTACAACAAGTCACTTAAAGGGAGTTATACAAGGGGGGGGGTCACCTAGAGTGTGTCCATCACAATACTGTATGATAAAAAAAGGGAAAAATATAGTGATGGTGACATGATCATGGTGGCTGTCAAGGGTTACAGGTAAGGGGAGGGTGTAACTATATAAGGAGAGCACAGGAAAGTTATGGGGGTGATGGAACACTTCTGTAGTCTGACTGTGGTAGTGATTATATGAATCTACACATGTGTAAAATAAAAATAAGTGAATATAAAAAATGCATGTATTATGTATAATAAAGTATGATTTTAATGGATAATTTGGAAAAAATTTAATGGAAAAATTTAATAACAATTATATAAAAATAAACTCTTTACAAGTATGCTTTAAAAATCTTTGCTTCTCCCTAAAGATATTTAATAACAAAGAAAACAAAAATTATATATATATTATATATATATATTTATACATAAATAAATATGAATATGAATATATATATATATATATATATATATTAGAAAGCACCAGTTCCACTTCCACTTAAGATATAAAAAGCCATAAAAGCATGTCAGCCCTGGCCGGTTTGGCTCAGCGGTTAGAGCGTCGACCTGCGGTCCTGAGAGACCCGGGTTCGGTTCCCGCTAGGGGCACATACCTCGGTTGCAGTTTGTCCCTGGCCCTGGTCGGTTGTGCGGGTGTCAGCCACTCGATGTATTCCTTTCACATCGATGTTTCTCTCTCTCTCTCTGTTCCTCTCTCTCCCTCCCACTCTACCTGAACAAAAAATGGGAAAATGTCCTCGGGTGAGGATTAAAAAAAAAAAGCATGTCACCCACAACTTAACAATGATAAACTTCTGGATAATCAGCGAAAGCATACTATTCTTTCAGCCCATCAGAAAACTGAGGTAAACTGAATTCTAAAGGGTGACTAACCCCTTAAAGATGGACATATGCACTCTTTTACCTTTGGCAGAGGTAGTTGTCAGTGAGTAGGTAAAAATAAATCAGCTGAAAGTTTAATGAATTCTTAAATTTTTAATGGGCTAGGGTGCCAATAATTTAGAATATCTGGCATCCTGGGCAATAATACACTCACTGCCAAGTTCTTTTTCACAATCCTTAACCAGAAGTGCAGAAATATAACTGGAGACAAATCAGGAGAACAAAAAGAGACCATTTCAGTGGTTCAGGTATGCAAGAAACAATCAAGTGTTGTTGTGGGACAGATATGCAGTCCCTTACACTATTCAAACACTTATGTGGGAAGCAAAAGCCCTAAGCCACTAAGGGAGAAACAGGAAGCCCTCTCCTTCTGTTAAAAAATGTTTCTGGTTAAAAAATGTTTCTGGTTAAAAAGTGTTTCTGGAGGAAGAGCAGGAAACCCTGAGCCCGTGATCTTAACAAGAATAAAAAGCAGTGGTCAGTTACTGATGAGGAAAGAGAAAGAATATCTCTCTCTCCAAAGACCAACCCCTGATACAAATCAGAATTCTCCTGCCATGTTAAGAGGAAAGAATACTGAGAAAAATGTACAACCCTCAAGGACCAGTTGCATATGACCTTCCTAAGTTTAAGGCTGAATAGGACAACAGAGTGCTACCTGCCTCACCATGAGCCTAGTATCTAGTAATAACAGGAGTCTACTGATGTGGAATAGCCAAGAGCACAAAGACATACACCCCTCTAAGAGCACAGGTATGAAGGGACTGCTGGAAATTTAGGGTAGAGAAAGATCATTAAGAATAATCCTATGGCTCTTTAAACACTCTAAGTAAAGCAATGTACCTCATACAAGCCAGATGGCAATGAAGTGAGAAAAGGAGGACAGTCTCCAATATATTTTATGATACCAGC